GCACATCTCCCATGGCAAAAACAGCCCTTCGCAAAAAACAGATATGGCAAAGATACCAGTAAGAGCAAATCATTAAACTCAGCTCAAAGAAAGGCTTTTGTAGCATCTCCTGCTGTCTCCTCAGAGATCAAAGAGCACGTGTCACAGTGTGTGAACAAAGTAAGAAAGACCTGCGAGGCACAACGCACGAGCACCTTGCCTTGGCAAGTCTCAGGAAAACACAACTGCTGTCGCAAAGTTAGTACTGAGGATTTATCAAGGGAAGGAAAGAGGAAAGTGACTCTTCCTCACAGGTCACCACGATACAAACATCATGTGGGCCAGTGCCTCGACTGCCACAAGTGTTAGCATTCCTAGATTGGAACTACTAGGATCAAAGGATCATTTGATCTTCTGCATTGGACTCAATAGCTTGAGTGCAGTTCTGGAGGAAAACACAACCTGCGTCAGAGGACACAAGGAGGTGAAGAATCTATTACTTCCCCCAGTGATCCCTTCCCACAGTTAATCATACTCGCTAAAAATGGATGATTCTTTCAGATGAGGCAGACGTGGAAGCCTTGCCAGCTTTTGATTACTCTCCCCTCCTCCAGCAGATTCTTTTCCTAAGGCTTGTGGGGTGTTCAACTCTGAATCCCGAGTATGCTCCAGTGCAAGAAAGTTCACTACGCATCTTTTAAGTTCCCAGAAAGTTTCAGTTTAACACAGTACTCCTTCCTCTGACTCTGAAGGAACTGGGCTGACACCCAGGAATCAATTTGTCCACCTTTATTCCCCACCAAATAGTCAACAAGGCAACCTAAAAACAGTTACAGTAGCCATAGGAACTCACAGTGGCCTACAACTAGCAGAAAGAAAATCAGTTATGGTAATCAATACACTTTGAGCAGGTCAAAAGAAATGTTTCCATATGCCAAAATGGTTCCATATTCATAAAGTTTGCCACTAAATAGAAAACACATTGTCTTCATAAACGCCTCTGCATGATTCTTTGTCTTGTTCCTTGCTGGTTTTTTAATATTTCTGTCCTGTTGCTATTTTTATTCCTTTCTGTAATACGTTTACCTTCTGTCCATTCTCCTGCCTCTTTGATCCCTGGTTCATCTGAATGAGCACTGTTTCTCCCCTTCCTCCAGCTCCTAATTCTCCTTCACGCCTGCCGTTCCCTTCCTGTGTTTCCATGTCCCTGATTTTTGTTACCTATATTATGCTTTTACATTAAAATATTTCTTATTCAAGACACTATGTGAAATTTCTTCGGAGGTAGTTTCTCTTTCACCTCCTCGTTCTGTGCTCTGTCTGGACAGCCTGCTCTTAATCCACACGGTAGGAAAAAACCAAACCACAGGCTTCGCTAAGGAATGATGAATCACATGATCTTATTAGAGATGGGAAAGACATACATGGTTGAGCTCAATCAAAACAACGTGATTTCTGATAAAGTTGTCTAAGTTTCACCCTTAAACACTGCTTGACAAACGGGACCCACTGCTTAGAAGATTTTTTTTTTTAATGTTCAGATTCATTCTGAGTTTTGCTTGCTTGCTGTTATTTTAGTTAAAATTCAAGCGAATGAGAAATGGCATCTACTGGTCTTCTAACATTACTGTTTTCCCCTACTAAGGATCACTTAGGATTAAAATTCTCTAGGTTCATTTTTCTGGGTTAACAACTTGCTAATCTTCGCTACTTTGTCCTCCCAAAGTCCCTGCCCTCATAGTTCTGTATTACTCCTCTCTCCCAACAAATATTCACAGCTTCACTTCAGGACAATTCCACAGAGCACATATGCTTAGAACATAAAAACAATTAACCCATAGTGCATTGCCTCTGACATTTACTTATGGAGACAGTCTAAAATACCTTATGAAACACACCCAGCCACGCCAATGCACTACAAGGTCTATCAGCTGAGCTACAATCTCAGCCATGCCGAGCCACCAGTTCCTCATCAGGGTGTATTACCAGTGCAGCACATCGTACACTACGGAGAAAACCGACCCGGCCCAGGTACCACAAGGTGCAGTAAATTATTCCCTTTTTCATCAGTACCACCAGGCCCACACAGCATCCCACAGGAACATGGGTACACTATATGTGCACATTATATACGTACCCAGCAAACAAAACGCAACTACTTAAAAAACCCTAGGTGTATTCATGGGTGTGGACATGTAATATGAATAATTAAACATCAATGTGTTATGATTCCCTAAGAATTGTTCTGAAACGACCATTTTTTTTCTCTCCTTACAGCCCCATCAGCTGCTTTCAAATCAGGCTAGCCTTCAACCAGCCACCCAAGAGGTAAAAAGCTGGCACCCATTCCCAACCTTCTGATCTTATCACACCCAGCTTCTCCACTTCAAGCGAGTGTGTTGACCTGCCGACCATTCATTCTGCTGCAGCTGAACAGGCGCTGCCCACGGGCTGCCCACGTTCTGCCTCTTACTTGTACAGCAAAATATCTGCTGCTTGAAGCACGGGGTAAGTCAGCAAACCGACGGTTCCTTCGCCATTCTGGCTGGCACGCTTCATCTGTTTGCAAAAGAAAAACAGGGAGCAGTCACGCTTTCGGCTAATGATGTCAAAGTCTGTGACTTTAATGAATTAGAATTCTAATTTAAGTAACTTATTGCATAACTCTAGGGAAAAGCGTGCCATGTAAAAT